AGTACATTCCCAAGAAGACTGAAGATGATTGCAATAATTTAAGAAGTGACAGATTGTCTGGCTTTGGGCAAGTCATTCCATCTCCCTATACCTAATCTTCTCATCAGCATAACTGATGAGAATGACATGTCTACTGTCATGAAAGCACTGCAAAGATCCAGACACTTCTCAGAGAGCCACAAGTTTCTGTTCAAGAGTAAATAATGGGAAAAGGTGGAAGTAACAATATTAGCACACATCCTACACAAACATCCCTGTGAAATTATGGATATATTGAAAAGTTTAAATTGTTACATAGATGTTTCCCCAAAATCATAGAATCACACAATCATAGAATGGTTTGGATTGCAAGGGACATTAAAGATCACCTAGTTCCCACCCTCATGCTGTGGACAAGGTCACCTTACTCTAGACCAGGGTGATCAGGGCTCCATCCAGCCTGGCCTTGAACACTTCCAGTGCTGGGGCAGCCACAACTTCTCTGGGTAAACTGTGCCAGGGCCTCATCACTCTCACATCAAAGAACTTCATCCTAACATCTAATCTAAACCTGCTCCCTTTCAGCTTGCATCCATTCCCCTGTGACCTGCTGCCCATGTCCTTGTAGGAAGTCCCTCCCCTTCAGCTCCTGGGTGACATCACCCCGAGTTCCACAGTAAGAAAGAGGAAGTTTGACAGTGCATCACCACAGCAACTTCTCAGGAAGGATTTTATGCCAGCCTACATTGCTAGCACTGCAAAAGAGCTCCTTGCTGTGATGGAGGGAGGGGATGTCAGGACTGTTCTGACCTTCTGACTACTTTTTGAGCCACTTTCCAACCTCTTGCACATTTTTTGCGCTTTAATGAACAGAAGATGTAGTCAGTGAGTTGGCAGCAGGCTTGGAGAGCCAGGAGCAGAAGGAGGCACTCACCTTCCTGGCCTGCTTTTCCCTCCCACCAAGCAATAAAGCACTCTTTATTTCATGATGATGTTAATGTGCAAACTTCTGCCTTTTCAGCAGAGGCACCTCAGGTGTTAGACAGTAAAACACAGCTGTTGCAGTAGGAACAGAGACAAGCTCCCAGTCTATTTATTGATGTTGCTGGTGCACTATCAGTGCTCTCTCCAGAGTCTGTGTCTGTGTCTGTATATTTTTTTTTCAATATTCCCAAACTGTTCCTCTGTATCTCAATATTCCTCGAGATCTCTGCTTTACACCAGTGAAAAATCTAGGAGATGCTACATTATTGACTAGCCAATGGTCTTCTTCCTTTATAACTAGCTGATTTTATATGACTTAACAACCTCAGAGCTACTTGGAAATTAGAAAGAAAACTCAGCTCTAGAACTATAAGGCATTATTGTCTGGGACTTTGAGATCAGCTGCTAAAGTCACATGGGAAAGGGTTACTTAACTGAAAAACCTGGCACCAAAGAGTTCAGAAAAGAGAATTTTTTCAAATGCCAGCATTATAATGAGCTTATGTTGAGAGGGGATACATACAGAGGAATTTTATCTTGCAGAAATAGTAAACAACTGAAAGGCAAAGTATGTCCCTTAAAAATACTTCTACAAAGCAAGTTTAATGCAGGAGAAGAATCTCACATTGTTGTTGGTGGTGAGAGGGCAAACAGCCTCTGATACCCATCCTAACATGATCAATACTAATTCAGGGATCTCTGCCACCAATCTTTGCAAGCAGTGTGCACTGTCCTAGTGCAGCTATAGACCCATTTCAGCATCAGCTGTTCAGTCCTATGTTGCCTCCAACATTAACCTGACTTTTTCCATTGTCCCAACCAGGAGAAAAATTAAAATCTAAGCCAGAAGTTTCCACAGCTTTTTCAGGAGCACTCTCAACCTTAACAAAGAGTACTCAAATAGCAGTACTAACAGTACCAGGCTCTGAGTATCATAGGAAGTGCACAGTCTCACTTATCACCTGCCTTATTTGTTCAGCAGCCACAGGAGTGTCCACTTGCCAGAGTTAATAGGAAGTTTCTTTACAAGCACAGTGGTCATCCTGCCAAGCCTGTTCTCTCAGTTTACAAGAAATGGGTGTCTTTACTATAAGGCTGTTGCAACAGCTACATTCCATGTAACAATTGGAAGCCCACAAATGACCCAGCAGGAAGCTGCCTTGAAGACAGACCAACATATTAAAAAATTGTCCAGACATAAACCTTAGTGCCTACTCTGTTAAACAGCTTAGCATAGGTTTAGATTTAGCTGGACACCTTGTCTCCCAGTCACTGACTTTGCATGTGAATACAACTTGTGCCAGAGGATTTTAAAAACGTGATGTTGAAAGTATATTTTTATACCTTCTGGCAGTGAAAAGCCTTTAGCCTCATAGAAAGGTTCCTGTAAGAACAGGGTAACTTAAAACAAAGCCATAAGGCAGGAAAAGGAGGTTGTTCTCCTAGTTCTGCCTCCTGTTCCCCTGGGCTAAATCAGTATTACCAGTTTCCTTATCTATAAAATAGGCATAATTGCACATTTTTACCTCACAGAAACAGCCTGAGGCTTAGGTTATACTGTCTGCAAATTCAGGCTGGAAAAATGCTATAAAGATGCCAGTTACTGAGTTTTTATCTTCCTTTCCTGAATGATTTCCCAACAGTTTTTGCTCAGTGTGACCAATCACAAGTGTATTTGCTGAGTGACTGAGTATAACCTGCAGAGGAAAGATGGGTAAAGCTGCTGGGCTGGTAGGTAGTTTTTAGCTCAGGTGACTGGACTCAGTGCCCACTCTTTTATCTCAGCATGCCTCTTTGTGGTCCCTGGCATCTTCTCACTGTGATGCTAAATAGCAGCTGGGTTCTGCTGGAGACCTGCTCTCAGTACCTCTGGTGGCATGGGCATGCAGAGTCTTCTGGCCTTCTCCAAGGAAGGCCAGCAGCTAAGAAACCTGCTCCACCTGCAGCAAATATAAGAGAACATAGTCCTTGCAATACTTCAAGTACTTTGGACTCAGGTCCTTGCCCAAACACACATTAAAAAATGTAATTATAATTTCTTAGCCATCATAGTATTGTCACAGGCCAGAGACAAAGACGGGACCTGTGGTAAGAGGAGACAAGACTCAGCATGGGCTTGTGTGGGTCTACCCTCTCTGAGACTTCTTGCTGACTAGAAAAATGACAGAAAAGGAGAAAACTCAGCAGTTTAGTTTAAAAAAGCCCCCAAAGTATGTGTGATATTTGAAAACAAAGACAATGCCAAGGAAAAGACTTTGGAGTAATGCCTATAGGCAGCTTTTTCTGGTTTTTTGGTCTGTTCATTTCTCATCTGCTTCCAGGGAAGCACCCAGGGGTTTGCTGTGGTTTTGTATTTCAAACAAAGCACAAGACAACTGACTATGAACAGGGATAGATTCCTCCTCAGAATGAACAAAAATGTTGTGGACTGTTTAGTGTGCAGTTATGATTCTTTCTCTTCTACAACACACCAGTAACCCAAACTAATCCACACACACATGCAGCAGAGGCTGAGACAAACAGCAGAAGGTGCATGTCAGAACTTGGCCAATTCTGCTTAAACTGGAGAGGGGCAGGCTTTCCAGAGGGTATGTGTTCCCAGTAATAAAAATATCTCCATTTCACCAGGATAAAGCATGGAAAATTTGAGCTAGACCAAACTTTTCAGGGAACCTTACAACTTAGAGCATTCTAAGCCACTCCTGTCCCCCAGCACCTCTGCCTCTGCTTCTCACAAGCTCAGCATTTCAGGTATCAGCCAAGGCAGTTGTTTATCTGCCATGATTTCCCCGGGAACAAAAGAGGTCTCACATGCTGGGACCCTGACCAGGACCATTTGGAGGATCACAAAGCCCCTAGCCATCAGCAGATCTGGAGGCAAGGCAGCTCAGTTTCAGCAGCACCCAGCTCTTGTACAACTGCATCAGTTACATTTCATGCTTTGAAGCACCACTCTTATCAAGGGATTCTATCAGGTTGGGAAGTTTCAACATGATATACAGTACCTTTGAAGCCAGTGGGATAATGACGTCAGAGAATACCCCAAAACCACCCAAGGTCATAAAGTTAATGGATAATAAAGGCATCCAGTCCCCTGAGAATAATGCCTTAGCTGCTCTGCCTTCAAGTACAGCTGCATCAAGAGGTGCTGGAGTATCCCCCTAATCTGACTCAATAACATAACATTGAGTGGGATGATGCAAGCAACAAGTAGGACAGCAAACACAAGAATGTGTAGGAAAACAAAGAAAATGGACCTGGAAAATAGACAAGGAAAATGAATCCACACAAAGGTACCCAGTGAATTCACCTGGGGAAGATTATTTTTCAGACAAAGGGGTGCTTCTATACAGCAGCTTGGTGCCTGCTTGTTTCCTGTGTACAATGTGTCCCCATGTTTCTCCCATTTCACCATTTGGATTTATTTGTCTCTGCTTTAAATGCCAGCCATTCTGTAAAGCACTCAATCATCAAGTCTGGTTGTGCAGCTTCTGGGAAATGCAAGGTTTTTCTTCAAAGCAGTTTGCTGCTATAAATGCAATGTTCACATTGCACATGGTCTGAGTGCCACCCATGTTCACATAACATGGGGCACACAGAGAGAGCTGCTGCCCCACGGAGACTCTGAAGAGTGATTCAGGGAACCAAAGAAGGTGCTAGGAAGAAGCTCAAAATCCAGACACAGCTCAAAATAGAAAGAGAAACTGATGCATTTTTCTGGGTAACATGATGACAGCTGAAGCTGTGATGATGCAGCAGTTAACCTTAGAGGTTAAGGAAGGGTCTGAGGGCCCAAGGCTGTGTGAAAGAGAATTCCCATGCAAGGTGGTCCCAGAGCTGGCCAAGCCTCAGCAAAGCTCTGGGGAGCAAAGGGAACATTCCCTCATCCACCACCCTCCACATTGTAGTGGGACCTTTCTGCTGGGATGTGGCCAATTGTTGATGCCAAATTCACAAGCAAACAGAAAGATTTTGTAACACCAGAGTCAACAATGTATATTTTATTGCATGCCACTGCCACCAGAATTTCCACGAGTTCATCACAACTCCACATTTTTGTTCCTTTCCTACTTCATTGTGCCCCACTGTTTCATGCTATACTTACCTGCAGTGTTTATTCTGTCACACTGCTTGCTCTCTGCCTTTTCCTGTTCCATTCCCTAGTTTCCTGACCCCTTGAGCAGGTTTCAGTTTGGTGGCACCTTCTCACAGATTTCCCCTGTGTGCCATTGAGGACAGCAGACAGCCAACAGGGTCACTTCTTGCCAGAGGAATGAGGAGAAATTTCCTCTGCTATCTCACCCTTCCAGCATCCTCTGCAAAGCCTCTTCCGCCTAAAAGACAAAGGGACAAAGGTAAGAGGTTTTTTGAGGCTTAACTTGGATTTTGTTATAACCTTTTCTGTCAGACACACAGCAGTGCAGCTGCTGTACATGCTGGTAGACTCTATGTGTTTCCCAAGTTGCTCTGGGCTCTTTCTTTTCTGCCTGCTTTATTTGAGGGGCCCACGTTTGGCCATGCAGCGGGGAAGCTCAGTGCTCCCAAAGAAGAAGAAAGCAGGAAAAGCACAACCCCTCACTCTAGCTCTCCAGGGGAGGCATCCCAGCAGTAAGTTGTTTTGGAACAGCCTCAGCAGAATGAGAAGGAAGGCAGGCACAGATGAGCCTGATCCATGGAGCCTGAAGGGCACAAGGGTCCCAACAGGCATCTGAGTCACACTCTGAGCCAGAGGCATTGCACAGCAACAAAGCAGACACAAGATCAGACACAGCTTCTGAAAAAACTAGGAAAACAGGCTGAGGAAAGAAGAGAACCATTAAATCTGGTTTCCTTCAGTGTCAGGCTAGCTGTCCTCTCCAAAACCATATCTATACTGCACACATATGGCCCTGAATGAATATTCAAAATACTCCCCAGCTGTAAGAGCTCTAACACTTCCTTCCATTTATCACACAAATACAAAAATCTCTATTGACTCACTGTCCCAGCCACACACAACACTAATAAACTCATCCACATTTACACAGCACTGCCTCACAAGTGTAACTTGAACTGAAAACAAAACAAAACCCCAAGAAAGAAAAAACGAACAGAAGACAAAGTCCCCAGCGGGACTGAAGCCATGCTCATGCCTTAGTGAACCAGCCCTGGACATCTCAGACTTTGTACCAGTGAGCCCTTGATGTTCTCTGCACTAGCACATAAAGTGACTGCCACCCCTCTGAAGTGCTCCAATGGGGTTCAGTAGCATTGAATAAAACACTCTGTAAAATTAAATAAAGCTTATTAGGAACAGCTCAAGCATACAGGAACAAGACAGGCCTTGGGAGATTGCAGCAACCTGGGAGGGGCTGCACAAACACCAACAGCAGGATTAGAATTCAAGTGATCTTGACAAACTGGAAATACAATCTGGAAAAAGCAATTTAGCATGAACAGCTAGGAATGACTACAGAAAAAAACCTGGGAACATTGTGGCACACAGCTGATCTACCAGAAGGGACCTGGAGCACATCATGTGTCACAGGCTGCCATAAGTGAACAATACCATATCATGTTATGTTATATGTTATGTCATGATATGTTTTGTGTTATGTCTCTTGTGAATGTCTGATCTCATATTCATATTCAGTGAGCAAGAGTGTTGTCTGTAAATACCCAGGGTAATCTGCCAGAGCTCACTCAGCAAGGCCTTAGGGCTTGGTTCAAGGAACTCCAGCTGAAGAAAGAGGGACTAAGAAGATTCAGAGATCAGAAGATAATTATTAATATAATTCAGAGAAGAAAAGACTAAGACTGAAACCATCTTCAGATAACCTAGAAGTGCCCTCAAAGAGAGAGGAAATGTTTTTCCTGACCACTGTGAGCAAACATTAGAATTACAAAACCACTTCTGCTAGAGAATTCCTCTGAGGCAGATTGCTTGGGAGATCAGAGGATTTGAATAACAGATTAAAAATGGGAACCTTTTAGGCAAAGCTGATCCTTCCAAGCCTTGTGCTACAAGACAGAGACCTATAACCTCTGGATTTTCACCTACAAAATTCTGCACATGGTTATAGCTTCCCCCATGGATCCAGGGTATACATGTCACAGAAACTCACTTCCACTTATACTTGAACAAAATGCTTAAGGAAAAAGGACTGGTCAGGGATTTCTGTCTGGTCTCAAGTACTGTCTGTAGATGTGAGCTCAGTAAAACCTCAGGCTCCTGTTAGGAGGTGGGTGATAGAGCAGGAGTGGGCAACTCCCAAAGCCATTGATGCTGTGTCAGAGGACAGGACCAGCCCATCTACCTGCTCCCCAGTGCCAGCTGGGCATCCCCAGGTAGGGCAGGCATCCCCTCATTCCCAGAATGAGGGAACTCAAAGCATCCTAGAGACACCTTGGTGCTTGATTCGATTTGATGGTAGTGCCAGCTGGGCATCTCCAGGTAGGGCAGGCAGGTGAATGAGAGAACTCAAAGCATCCTAGAGACACCTTGGTGCTTGATTCGATTTGATGGGTTTTAGAGATGGGAAGGAATGAGGATTGGTTTGGAAGACATGGGTAATGTCAGAGATTCATTGAATGTTTTGCATTTAAATCTTGTCTGTTTATTAATTGTAATGATAGTCCAAGAGCTGCTTAATCTGGGACAGAGTCTCATTTTTTTTTTCTTCTACTACTAGTTTCGGACCTCTTTGAAAGCATCCTTGTCTTTGTTCATTTGTTTGTGTGCTTTCTTTGCACAGAAGGCAAAAGCTGGATTGATTTTCAATGTGTTATTCCACTGCAAGATTTTATTGATTTTTTATGGAGCTGCTTCACCTAAAAAAATCCTGCCATACCATGGAAAGTAATTAAAAAAAAAAAAAGAACTAAATCCACTTATCTGCTTTTCCATTCTGCTTCTGGAATTTACCCTCTAAAATTAATTTAGACTGTGCAGGCCCTGAAGAAGATCCTGTTACTCTAAGCAAAGCTGGAATAGGCTACTTATTGTTCTAGGCCACTGGTATTCCCCTTTCTCAGACATTGCCTGCAGAAATAACGAGCAGCTTAAACAGGGCTCCCTTTTCAAATTGTCAACAGCTTGAGTTCCCCATTTAAGCACTCTGGCATCAGGGCACCCTGAAGCCAGGCAATGTTAGCAGGAAAGCAGAATTAATGCAGAACAAGAAAAGCCTGCGGGGAGGGAGAGGCCCCGTGTGCAGGGTGAGGTGCAGCAGTGCTGTGTAACACTGAGACCCAGGGCTCTGCAAAGCCCCATGGGCAGCAGGCCGCTCCTTTGTGGATCTGACCCCCAAAGACAGGGTCTCTCATTCCCACACTTCCCATTGTGCCATGGGGTCAGCATTTGGCACAAGGCCCATATCTGCTGGTGCAGCCCTTCCTCCCCTCTCTGGGACAATATTCTGGGGGAAGAGTCTGGTAACAGAATCATAGAATGGTTTGGGTTGGAAGGGACCTCAAAAACCATCCAGTTCCACCCCCTCTGCCATGGGCAGGGACACACACCTCTCACTAGAACTGGTGGTTTGAAGAGCCATTCAATTTGGCCCTGAACACTTCCAGGGATGGGGCACCCACAGTTTCTCTGACAACATGCTCCAGAGCACTGCCAGCAGGTTGAGGAGGGTGATCCTGCCCCTCTACCCAGCCCTGGAGTGCTGTGTCCTGCTCTGGGCTGCTCAGTACAAGAAGGACATGGAGCTCCAGGGGTGAGTCAGCAAAGGGCAGTGAAGTTGATCCAGAACAGGAACACATCTCTCAGGCTGATGGAGCTGGGCCTGCTCAGCTTGAGAAGAAACCACTGAGAAGGGACTCGGTCAATGTCTCTGAGCATCTGAAGGGAGGGTGTCAAGAGGATGGACCCAGGCTCTTATTGGTGGTGCTGAGCAAGAGACAACGGGCAGAAATTGATGCACAGGAAGTTCTACCTGAACATGAAAACTCCTTTACTGTGCAGTGATTGCAGACCAGAACAGATTTCCTGGAAACGGCCTGGAGTTTCCCCTCAGCGAAGGTATTCAAGAAAGCATCTGGATGCAATCCTATGCCACGTGCTCTGGGGTGACCCTGCTTAAGCAGGAAGGTTGGACAGGATGACCCACTGTGGTCCCTTCCAGCCCAAGCTGCCCTGTGAAGGTCTCACTGGAGCTTCTCTTCTCCAGGCTGAACAGCTCTGACTCTCCCTGCCCTTCCTCGTAAGAAGTCTGGCAGGCATTTTACCCCTGTTAAAAGGGGACACCCTCTCCAAAGGCCTCATGCTATCAGCTCCTCAGGCTTTCCAGCCACAAGCACCCAGGGACACCCCTCCTGGGAAGCAAGGCCCCCCAGGACAGCCTCCCCGGGCACCCAAAACAGCTGAGGAGCTACTGATGCTCCACGAGAGGGAAGCTCTACTCCCTCCACCCTCCAACCACCACCTCCCCAGCCTCCCAATTTATTTTTTTTTTCCCAGCCTTTCCTTCTGGTTCATTACGCAGCCGTAGCAGAGAAAGAAGTGACAGGTTGAAGGCGGGGGGGAAAGGGAGGCGCCGGAGGTACCTCGGCATTCCCGGCGCCGGCATCTCCATCACGCCCCTCGCCGGGAGCCGCCCCCGCGCTGCCGCCAGTGCTGGGGGCGGCCTGGGGGGAGTTGTCCCTCGGCCCCCGCCCCCGGAGGCGCGGCCCGGCCCCTCGCACGGGTAGAAAGGGCCGGGCGGGGGCTGCGCGCCCGCAGAGCGCGGAGCGGCGGCGCGCAGGGCCCGCGGTGCCGGCATGGCTCTGGATTTCCTGGCGGGATGCGTTGGCGGTGAGCGGAAAAAAATAATCGTTAAAATATGGTGGGGAAGGGGGAGGAAAAAGGGAAAGGAAAGAGAAGGAGAGGGGGGTGAGAAGAAAAGAATAGTTAAAAAAAAAAAACCAAAAAAAAAAAAAAAACCAAAAAAAAAAAAAGCAGAAAAATAGCTAAAAAAGGAAAAGGGGAGAAACGTAAGAAGGTAGGAAATAGAGAAGAGGCGTAGAAGGGGAAAGAGCGAAACGCTTTTAAAATGCGGAAGAAAGGCCGGCAGGTCGGCGGGCAGGGCTGGGCCGGCGCTGTTATTTTGGGAGCCGAGGATGGTGCCGGGCCGAGCCGTGCCGGGCCGAGCCGGGCGGGGAAGATCTCGGGGTGCGCTCCGAGCCCTCCGCGGCCGTGCCCGAGGGGCTGGGAGGAGCGGGGGATGGGGGCAGGGATGGGGATGGGGGTCTGGGCGAGCACAGGGACAGCGGGAAGGTCGGGAACCCCGAGCTGAGCACAGCGACCCCGGGCAGCTTTAAGATGGAGAGGGGCGAACACGGACACGCGTCCCCGCGCGGCTGCGGCCGGCCTGCCTGCCCCTGCTATATTTAGCGGTTATTGAATTGTGCTCAGGAGACTGATTCTCGCGTCTTTTCGGGCATTTGCCCTTGCTGTTTTTCTCGCCAACCTGGCAACCATGGTTTAAAATTCCTTTTTCCAGCGTCTCTCTGATTTCGTCCTGGCGCTCCTTGCCCTGCCAGGGTTCCCCCGGGATCGGCCCCCGCTGGCCTTTCCGTGCCGAGCACAGTGCACATTGCTGTTTGTCTCTCTTGGCCCGTGTTGCTGGCCTTAAACAAGCGGGGCTGCAGCATCCAGGGGCAGGCCCTGTGCTGCTGCCCGGGACAGGGAGGGCAGCTCCGCTCCAGGGACGTGGGAAGGAGCGCGGACGGTGCCAGCGGTCACTGGGGATTGCTGGGTCACCCTGCAGGGCCAGGGCACTCACTGCTCCGGCCTGTGTGTGCAAAACCCCGCGTTCAGACTGGTGTAACTAACAGGCCTGCATGTGGCTTCTAAAATGTCCTTTGATGCTAGAATGAAGCAAAGGTTTTCAGTAATATGTGATCCCTCTGCAGGTGCTGTTGGAAAGGCTGTAGGCAGAGAGCATTAATGCTCTGCTGCCTTCAGAGATGTTCACGTGTTTTCTGTGCCTGCACAGAGCTGTATGTACATGAAATATTGTGTTTTAGAGGAAACCTGCATTTTCTGCCCGCTGGATTTGCCTTGAGCTGAGGCCAGGAGTCATGGCTGCACATTCCATATGGTGTGGCAGGTCTGTAGTCACACAGCCCAACCCCTGCCTGGGGCTCAGAGCCTTCCTGGGAAGCACAAAGGCACCTGGTACTGGCCTGGAGGTTCTAAATTGTAGATCTCCTATCTCCTGACTTGGTAGGATGCTCTTTAGCTGGTTTGCCAACCATGGTGTGCACTCACACCTCAGGCTGGTGGTCCTGCTTGGGCTACTGCAGCCCCAGACCCAGGAAGGAACTCCAGAGTAATAACCGTGGCATTTATTGCATTTCAGGTGCTGCTGGTGTGCTGGTGGGACACCCCTTTGACACTGTTAAGGTGGGTTGATTATGAAATATATTCACCTCTAAGTAGAAAACTTAGTTTCTCCAAGCAGTGGGGGAGGAAGAAAAAAATCCCCAGACACTGTGGGAGTGTAAATCTGTGTGGGAAAGCTTGGAGCAAGCCTCCACAAATACTGCTTTAGATTCTTCAATCTCCAGCTCTTCAAAAGTGAAAACTTAGTAACATAAACCTTGGCCTTAAACTGCAAATTTAGTACAGTAACAATGTGGTATTTGGAAATACAACTTTGCATTGAACTAAATTTTGTTCTAAGCTTGCTTCTCTGCAGCTGTTCAACACTAACTGCTGAAACTGCCTCTCCCTGCATTTGTAACTCAAACCCACTTTGTTAGACTGTTGGAAGATTGGTGTTTTGTTTTCCCCTCAAGCTCTGCTATTACTCTTTAATTTGTAGCATAGGTGGAAATCAATAAAAATCCACACTATGGAGCTTGTCTGGAGGCTGTTTCCTCCAAGTATTATTATATATTTTTATAACTTTCCAACTTAAAATTGGTTTCCTGATGGTTAGTTGTGTGTGTTACATACACTTCAGCTACTATAAACACAGGATTTGAGAGCTCCTGGAGGGTCCCCCAGCCAGGGCTCTCAGAAGTCCAAGCCCATTTTTCAGAACAGAATGACAATTAGTCATCTTTTGGCAGCCTTATCCCAAATCTTGCACTGCAGAATGGAAGGGATATCAGTGCATTCCCTGCTAAAGTAATACATCAGGTCACTTGACTGCAGCAGACAGCATGCCACGTAGTAGATCTATCTTTGGAATACCTTTACCTTGCTGAATTTAGATATGCAAATGCTGAGGGCCCCATCACATTCTGTATCCTAGAGCATGGTTAATTCACTACAGAATTCCTGAGTTAGTGGATATTGATCCTCCTTGCAAGCTTGCAGTGCAAGCTGATAAAACAGTAAAATCTGTCTTTCTGTTGCTCAGAATGTGGTACATTTGACAGTTAAATAATTCAGCTGAATTCTAGAATATATTTTCAGGCATAGCATCATCCAGACTTGCACAATTTTTATTATGGTGGTACAGGGCCAGCTGTCTCTTTATCTCCCGTCCTGCCAAGTTTTTCATGCTTAACTGAAGGTGATCAGTCATTTCATTGAATCCAGTAAAAGTGCTAAAATTCTATGCTCAGACTAAAGGTAACCATGTTTGGGTTTTAGTTGGTGGTTTGTTTGTTTTTTGTTTTTTGGTTTTTTTTAACTGGAACAGCTTCTGTTGCATGAAGCTGAACATTTAACTGTAAAAACTGAAGCTCCCATGCTGGTTTCAGCAGATGTATCATTGCAAAATAGATGTATCAGCCTGGGAAAAAAGCATCTCAATTCACAATACAGCAAATAATTTCTTTCTAAATGTTTTTTGAAATCCAGTGTGACACATTATATTTTCATATCCTTTAGAAGGTATTGTACATGTTTATCTCTATTTTGTTAAAACAAATACTAATGTTTGTATTATTAGCTGGCATAGCCACCAGTGTATGTGGAAAAACTAACCACCCTTTAAGGGAAAAAAAAAAGACATTGCATAACTTGTGTATGTATATGTGTTAATTCTTAACTTTTTATTGTTCTGCAGTGTTTAAAGGGCTAGCTGGTAGTCACCTTAGACTGTGCATTTTTAATATAACTGAACAATGGGAAAGCTCTGCTTTGATAAGCCAAAGTTTTAAGTCTGCCTTGGCATTTAAGCTCTTTTGGGTTTTTTCTGGCTGGTGCTCGTGTTTCACAGAGCTGGGAGGGGGATGGTGGGACACACAGGGAGACCTTAAGCTGGTGAAGTCACCCTGCAAAACCTGCAGCTGAGCTGATCTCAGAACTGGCAAACTCTTTATCCCTGGTTTGTTGATGTAATGTATAAAATTGCTTTTTTGCTTTTAACTGCCTTTACTTTCTGAGCTAGGGGCTGTCTTCATTAACAGCAAAAGTGTTACTTTGTTGTAGATGACAGATAAGCCTCATCACGGGAGAGTTACCTAGTAAGTATAGCCCAGGTGAACACTTCTGTTTCTCTCAGTCTTAATTTATTCCCAAATGTATTAGTTCAAGTAAAGAACTGAAAGACTTATGAAGCTTTTTCCCTTTTTAATTTTAAACTGATGTGTCCCTCTTCTACAGCTATGGCATGGAGGGAGCGGGGTTTAAATATCCCTTTTTTTTTAAATGTAGTTTTATTCTGAACCCTCTTTCTGCTGTGCATTTCTGGCTGTATACCCTCCCACACACAGTGCCTCTAAAACCAAATCTCAGGCACACTGCTCTTGAGGTCTTATCCAGTACATATTCCCGGATGATGTTTTCATTGCTCAAATACTTTTGAAGTCACTGATTTCCCACATTATTAAATGCTTGGACTGTTTTGATGTAGTGCTTTGGCTTTCTTTATTTAGTCTTGAGTGCCTTTATGCAAGTCTTTAGTGATGTGAAATTACTGGGTGTTCTTACTGGACCTAAAATGTTAGTAACAATATTTTCCCATAAGAAGGAAGCTAGAATACTGGGCAATGAAGGGAGCAGGTGGATGAACTTTGCACATGATTCATCTTTCCTGTAGTTATACACACTAGAGAGCTTACTGAATATGCCATTAATATGCATGAAAATGCAAGTTTCAGGTGCACTCATTGCTGTGGCAGTCTGCTGATGTGGGTACCCGTGTGTGACCAGCACTGTGCTCAAGAGAAAGAGAATTTTAATTCTTAGACCTGAGGAGTCAATGCTCCAAATATTCTACCCTACAGTAAAGCTTAATTGGTTAATATATCATAAATTATTTAGACAAAAGTAGAGGGAGCTGTGTACCACTAGGAAACTCAGCCCATAGATATGGCTAATTCTAAACTATTGAACACAAGCAGAAAAGATAAAGTAAGAAGGTTTCTAAGCTCCAAAGCCCTTAATGTGTGGAAGTCACAGACAAGGTTTGAAACAGTAACAGTAAATTCTACGTGGAGTAAAACCTTTGTTTGTGCAATTGTGACAGCTTGTTAAGATTTGCCTTTGCTTGTGGACCTGCTTCTTTAACAGTTTTGACAGTCTCTCTACCCCCAAAAGTCACTTGAAGTGACAGAGGAATTATTTTCTTTGAATCCTACTGTAAGCCTGCTTTTAATGCTGAGATGTTGCAAGACCCAAGGTGATCTCAGCCTCCCACCATGGCTAGCATACACTAATGTACATACTGAAACAACAGTGAAAACTAAAGTTCTGATTTACAAAGCATGGAATAACCTGTTGGAGGAAAACCACTAAAACTGTCAATTTCTTTTTGCTTTGAAGGAAGTTAACCTGAATATAGGATTCTGACAAACCACCTCCATAAATTGTTTTCTAGAC